CCATGAGAGATTTTCCGTCACAAGGCTCGTATCGAAACGTTTCTCAGAAAAAACACGGGATCGACTACGAAGACTTGTATGCACCGGTGCTTTACCTGAATTCAACCCGCGCCAGTATCGCGAAGTGCGCAAATGTGGAGTTTAGATCGAGTAGTGTTAAATTGATGCGGTTTTCCTGTTTGGTAGACCCAACGTTGGGATCTACATGGAGCGACCGGATGGTCTTCGCTAGCTGTTGCCTTTGACGCAGTTGAAAGCGAAACCGACTTCGTGTGTCCTTTATGGTAGCGCCTCTACGGGCCCAAGCAAACATCACGTGTCTGGATAGATACGATTGACAGTCATCCCTAGGCCATAAGGTTCCAGGCTGCAGCTGCTGACTCGTGTTCATACACCAGAGATGAAGGTGATGAATGAGTGTAAAGTGTTTCTACACGTCCCCAATATGTTGATCTCTGCTAAGGGCAAGGTTATCACCGCTTTGGTGAAAGATGTATCTCGGTAACGTTTATGATCCTCAGACGTGCCCGCTTCATTTTCGTTACCAAAATATTAACCAGAAAGCGTATAATCGAGCGGTCATCAAGATGGTTAGACAGGAGAAAGCGAATTCGTGCTCTACCCCCACTGGAACCTGGAGTTCACCTTACCATGGCCGGGAAATTTATCACTGGCGGCCACAAATACATCAATTTTTTTTCTTTTCGGCTCAACTTTGAAACATATGAGTGCTTCTCTATTTTAATTGGTCCGTTACGTTGAAACCTATTTAAAAAACGATTGGTATCGCATCAATGCTTAGCAAACGCAGAACTTGAATTTTACTACAGGCATGGGGACAGGAAAGGTGGATTTGGTTGAGAAATTTGGGAGCGAGGAAATTAACGTACACGACGTGTTTACATCAGCTCCAGCCAGCACCGCATTTCTCCGAGCGTATGCTTTCAATGAGAGCAAGTCAATCTCGCAAAAAAAATCATTCGGGTCACAAGAATGTGTGGGGATGTACATCTGACCTATGTGACTGGGAGGCTTCTTTAACAAAAAGAACGTCCTACAAAACGTGCTAACCCTAAGCTTGCGTTTTGTACGACAAATGCATGGTTTGTCAGCTCAACAATACTACTCACTCACCAAGCTGTGATTCGGTTGGCGAATGTTCGTCTGAGCTATTATCCCAGCATTCTGGGTTTAAAAGTACTTTGGTAAAAGGCGTGAGTACTGCTCGTGTGCGAGTTGCTACTGCTGTCAAGACGGTCGATAATGTGAACGTGGATAACTAAGCAATTTCTTGAGCTAAACAATTGATGACACAAGAAGAAGGCAAGTACAACAAACTTCCTCCATTTCTATGGGCGTTTGAGTGGCCGAATCCAGGCTCTAGGGTTTTGTTGTCGTTTGGATAGCAAGGGTCGGTTCTTTCGGGTGTTTCTAAGCATCGGATCACTAGTTGCCACTCTGGATAACTGGATACCCGTTCTCGAGTCAGATGGTACCCACATGAAGAATAACCAGTACAACGGTGT